TTGTCGTCATAAGCCCACAGTCTATATCCAGTGCCCATAAAAAAACCTAAACCCGACTAAAAAATTTTTCATTTTTCCTTTTTCCTTTTTCCTTTTTTCTTTTTCCTTTTTCCTTTTTCGTTTTTCGTTTTTCCTTTTTCGTTTTTCCTTTTTTCTTTTTCCTTTTTCCTTTTTCCTTTTTCCTTTTTCCTTTTTCCTTTTTCCTTGCACCTCACTATCAAATTATGAGTGAATTTTTGAAGATTGAAAAATTTTTGGATTTTCTGAAGGGAACGAAGAAATAAATCAATTAATCTCTAGCCTCATATTATTAGGTTTTCTTTGGAACTACCGGATTTATCCAGGAGAATCAAAAATAGAATTCAATCGGGGTTCAATTAATTATCGACATTTCTTCAACGCGAAAATGGGTCGAGCTTTTTGTATGGGAGATTAATCGGGTGGTGGGAGGATGATGCGACAAAAGAGTCGATGGTCCTCAATAGGTGCCTCGTAACCAAAGCCAAATCCCCGAGGACGAGTGTAGAATCCAGCCTAAGAGTCTTCCCATCAGTTTCAATGATCCGGTTATTTTTTCTCATACCCGTGCCTGTCCACCGTTTCTCAAACCATTCCCGCACAAAGAAGATGATAAAGACATTTTTTATTCCAGGAGCTCAAATAATTTTATCAAGGGCGGCGATGATCCTCTGAATTTCCCCGTGATCGATGGAACTTCTCCAGCACCCGCACTTCATTATTCCCGGATTCGAGAGTCATTTAAATATCGGTTTGGAGAACGAGGGAAATACGAAGGAGTTAGAATAATTAGTGAGAAAATCTCAAGACTGAAAAATCGCTGTGACATTTTCAGACAATTGATCATTGAAAATTCACTGAAATATCAATTAATCAAGACTGAGAAAAAATACTTGAACAATTATGGAATTTTTATATAATCGTGGGGTAACCGCGGTTTCCAGCAAAAAGTATGTACTAAAAGCTCAATCAAAATTGTCCTATCAATCAGGATTTTTTAATTAATTTCCCTGGACAATTTTTACGGTACCCCCCGGACTTTTCTTCAAAAGATAAGTCACTCCATGATTACGTAAAAGTTCCGTAATTTTTTGAATTTATCTCTCCATTCAGCCGTGGCCCGAGGGCATATTTCGTCCTTTCTTTATAAATGTCTGCAACCCGAAGGACAGGAGACAGTGACGACAGAAGAAAATTCCCCGGAAAATCAATTTTTCCCAACACTGATACACAGAAGATATCGGTGGTGCAAACTGACAAGCGGAAACCCGAGGGCTAATAAAAAGGGGAATTCCGGAATTCGGAATTCCAGTGCCTGCGTTTTTCCAGAGTTGTCTCGACAGTCTACATATTTTTCTCCATTCCTCTCGCGATGGGAGAAAGAACCGATAATGCATTTTACTGATAAAATAAATTTCACGTCAGATAATTTTTTTTTCGACAGTTGATCATCATCTGGATGCTCCGTCCACTTGAAAAAACCAGGAAGGTCCTTGGAAGCTGCTTACCGTTTCGTTTGATGTGGAAAAAATACCAAGAGGTAGAAATATAAAAGGCGCTTTCGCTAATTGGCCCTGTGAAATGATCCGGAAATAAAAGTCGAAAACGAAATGGAAAATATGCTTTCGTGGAAATACGATGGAACTCCTTTGCTGAAAGCTTTTTCCTCTATACTCCATACAGCAATATCGAAATGATCTCGGGATTTTATTTCGTTTTTTGAGGGTTTTTAGTGGTGTCACTCATTTTCATTGATTGAAATATCGAAATTGGATAAAGTGGGGAATGGAGTGAGAATTGATTGGATTTTTACACTGAACTACTCCCTTTTCGATGGGAATGCGTCCGAAATCCATTTGCAAAATGGAACTAGACTAGTTCTTAATTTTATTTTTCAAAAATTCCGTTCTTACATTGACAGACTGAAGACTGAATTTGTTTCAAGGTCTTTCGGTTGTTTAATTTGATGAAATAACATTTTTTAATCATTTCTCATTTTATTTATAATTTATTCTTGAAATCCAGCAATGTCTATTCCTTTTTTAATACCCAGTTAAGACTTTTAACAATTAAGCTCCCTCCCAATACTTCTCTGCTACCGATGTTTCCTCTTCATACAGAATAAAAAAATAAATCTGGAGATTAATTCACAGAACAATAGGCAAGCTCTGTAATATCGGTCAAGTCGGGTTTTGCCCCGGATTAAGCCATAAAAAAATTGCTTCGAATGTCGAATGAATGTTTGCTACATTTGTGCAAGTTTACTCGGACGCTTACAACATCCAGGATAAGAGGATTAAGCTGGAATATAAAATCACTAGCAATCTCCGTGTGATCAACCAATAGATTTACCTAAAAATCCATTAATTATGCATTTTTCCAATTAATAATAACATTTTCTCACAGGATCCGGTGGATTTTCTAATTTTCTCTAACTCTACTCTCTTATTACACTTTATTTTCCTTTCTTCACTCCCTGAGTCGTTTCTTCATTCACTTTATCACGTTCCCTGGGATTTATTTTCGTATTTCATTGCAAGATGACTTTCTTCCTCGTTAATTATATTTTTTGTTCATGCGAGGAACGTTCGAGGCGAATTATTGGAACATTAATTGCTATTCTTATTTTTTCCTCTTTTTTTCGGCTCAGGTTTTCAGGTGCACTCGTGGTATCGGCAAACAATCAGATTCCCTCGGACGTGGATTTATTCTGAATTTATTCGAATCCCCAGTAATAAATAAAATATAATAAACAAATACCAAAATTTTGGTTTGAGAATTAATTTAAAAAAAAGTGGTGATCATCAAAGGTAAAATTTGAATAAAAAATTCATTCCAACGGACTCGAAAATTTCTTGCACCCTCAATTTGACGAATTCTCTCAATTTCATTTATGACTCAAGTCCTTTCGAGTAATCAACGTTTGTCCGAGGATTATTCTGAAATAGAGAATGGAGATGAATCCCTAGCTCATGACTTTGCATGCCAATTTATGAATCTATTTTATTACAGTTTAATTCATCAGAATTATGGATCCTCTTGCCGGCATTGCCATTGAAATGAACGTTGCATAATGTAGAGAAAATCGATCTTTCATCAGCTGGCGCCAGGAAGAAAAAGAAGAAGGTCAAAGGCTTGTGGTTTCTCTCATTTAAAAAAAATGACAAAAAAATGTCGATGAACGGGTTTTTTTGAAAGTACTAAACTCAATTAATCGACTAAGGTCTCGTTCCGGCCATTATTCATAGCGTGCCCCAGCAGAAAAGGACATTTATTAATTTCACTCTTGGTCAGTCGCTGATTCCGTATTTCTCACGTCCACTGGGCCGAAAACTTTTTCCTGACTCTTTCCTGAATCCACGATTAGCACAAACTTTTCTATTTTTTTACGTTCTCTTTTTCGCAGGGAAGTTAAGAAAATATCAATTGCATAAAAATAAGTTTCCGAGTTTCCATCAGTTCCACGTGTTCCAGATGAGTGATTATGGATTAAATCTGTACCAATTGTTCAGTGGAAATTCGTATTTGGGAATCAGCTTCGAGAATGCCTAGAATGTAAATGACACAGTTGTTGTCCTTTCATGTTTTAATTTATCGAGTCCTCTCGGAAGTGTAGGTTACGAAGAGCAACATACAGAGCAAAAATTTTTACACCACACCTGTACAAATTCGCTTTGCTAACACCGGATAGAGGGATTCAGGGAGAATTTCTGGATTCTGACAGAAGCAGGGAAGGCAATATAGAGGTATGAGCAATGTTTACCGAGCTCTCAGTTACTCCACTTTTGTTGATACTACCCTCACCCATCAAACCACTTCCACTCAACTTCTCTTTGTGTCAGTGTTGGACATCTGTGTGGGTGAAGAGGTACATGACACATGCCGAGACACGAACAAATCTGCCACCTCCGAAAAATTCGCGTTCTGTCATTCCCTCGACAGTTGGATCAACCCACGCATCTCCAGACATGGACCAACCATGCATCACTGACACACTGATTAAAAAAAAATATATCCATCACCAGCTCTCAACCAATTTTCACAACACTCACATTATTCTTAATTAATGAATTTTATGTGTTCCGATTGGAACTGCGGACGATAAACGTTCTTTCCAATGAGAAAAATCTACAAGAAATTTCTTTGTAAATTGTAATCAATTCGCTTTAAGAGGCATTCCCAATACACAGGCGAATTTCTGCTTTCACGTAATCCTGTTCAATGGAATTAAGCTGGATTATTAGGATGAATCGACCCTAATGTGAACTGTTAAGAGCTGGTCCGGGTATTATGAAGGCGTTTCAAGGTCGCAATCAGTGGCTTCAGTTCTCCAGATCGAATTAATGAGGAGCGATTTTCTCGAAATTCGATCGACAATCTAGATCAATAGAAACTGAAGAATAATTTTAAAAACTCGAAAATATTTCAAATATAATAATAATTAAAATAGATATTCATCAATCACAGGAGTAATTAAATTCTTATTTAATTAAATTAAATTAGACTTCTTTTAGTTAATTAAATTAGAATTCGCAAAATTAATTTGCAAGTTTGTTATTGAATAGAGAGGATTATCAATTGAATATAATTTCTTGCGATAATCCATTTATTTATTTCGCTGTGAAATGACGATGCTGTCATCCAATGATTATTGAAGTTATTATTCAATTTATTTAATTATTCAAATTGAGGCATAAATATGTTGCTAGGGATTTGTTTCGCATAACATTGGGGGATTAAATCAAAATTGTGCTCGAGCATTTGTCAATCCGTGAGGTTCTTGAATATTTTAATGAAACGTGGAGTGCTGTTGCAATATGCAGTAATGTACGGTCCTCATGTGTCGCAACGAGATTTTTAATTGCATTCAGACCACGAGTATAACAGCGAGCTAAATTGACTACATGAGCCTCGGAATTGAGCTTTTGTTTCCGTTTAATTACGATATCCACTCAATCATGAATTATAATCAGTGAAATTACCTGTCGAGCATTGCTGGTGGGTGAGATTGGCATCTTGCTTTTGGACTCATCAGCCGATTACGCAGAAATACTCAGGGATTCCTCCAGAAAAAAAAATGGCATTGGCCCCAGGACTCCAAAGGACCCCGTCCATTCCTATCCTCAAAAAATACCGGAAAATTCAGAGTGTCAATAAACTGTCATGGTTAATTTAATTTTTCTTTATATATTTATATTATTCACTCATCCAGACTCAGTTCTTCGCTGAATTGAATATGATTTTTTCAATTGTCAAATTGATAATGGGAAAAAAATAAATTCAAATGAATATTTGCAGACTTGCAGACTCTCAATTCCATGGGAATTGATTCACTACATTAAATAAATTTATAAGTGATTTTTTCTTCCAGATTTTTTCTTTCTAGAGCGCGTTAATAAAAGCATTCGCCCCTACGGTTGCGGAAGTACTGACCGTCACTTCCGGTGTGGCAGATACAGTACTCCGAAATGGCGTGGGTGAGCTTTCACTCCTCTCGCCCACGTACACCATTCGAGAGTGCAGCATTCGAGTGTGCAGCATTCGGAGAATGCCCGACACATTTCCGGTTCCTCAATCAGCTCCCCAGGAATTCAAACCCGAGGACATTACTTGATGACTACCTCATCAATTGAGTCTTGAGATTTGTGAGATGATTCCGATCTACCACTGGTATCTCTATCTTATTTCACCACTCAATATTGAGAGGATAAAAAATTGGAGGATTTGATGAATCACTGCGGTGTACGTGCTCCGGTGGATGTTCGTCATCTTGATGTGATTGATTACCAGGAGGGATCCTCGCTCAATATCCTTGCTTACACAATGGAAAAGGAATCATACCGAATGGAATGATAAAAATATTGAGGAAAAGAGAAAAGTCAAGGGACTTTTGAATCAATTCAGGGATGAAAATCCCCAGAGAAACAAGTGTCTTCAACTTCTCCACGCGTTGAGAACTTTATTAGATGCACGGAGGCGAGATCCTGGCAAATGCCCAGGGCCTAAGCTGACGTTTCGAATCGGGTGAGTCCACAAAAGGTTTTCTATTTTCCCAGATTTTCCACGGACACAACAGATACCAGCGAAAGAAATGTAGTGAAATTTCAAAATTCGTGTAATTTTTTAAATTAAAAATTTTTTAATTTAAAAATTTTTCCCTAACTCGCTCAACACTCACGTCGAATTATTAAATAATCAATAAATCCATCCGGGAATTGTAATTAGAAATCGCCACGGACGTTCGTCTGGTCTTTTTTAATTAAAGTCCAGATTAACTTGTAATACCCAATGATAAAACGTAAGCCATTGAAGGGCGGAGGCATTTGACGTTCCCCTGGAGATTTATCAGATGACAATTTCCCATCGCCGGATGGTAAAATGACGCATGGCCATCCGACAAATGTAATAATGCTGGGCATCGGAATTTTGAAAGGCATATTCAATTACGGCATTGATTTTCCTTCATTTGAATGGACCGATACTGTGGAAAAAGACAAGGAATTTTAAAGAATTGTCCGTAATTTCTACAATATTGAAAAAAAAGTTAAAGCTAAATGCCCCTCACGGTCATTACAACTAAAAAATTAAAATTAAAAACTGTGAGAATTGTAGAAGAAATACTGCGACCCTTGATTCGTTCCCATCGCGTTAAGTTACGATCAATAATTTCCACGGAGACAGAAAAAAGAATGCGCCCGAGAATGTTATCTCCAGTTATCATTGGAATACTTTTCCAATCAAAGTTGTAAGCTGAAAACAATTACCGGAATTTTAGTGAGGGGCTGATGGGGTAGGATATTGACAGATGCAGTGGAAAAGTTTGTCATTCACTGAATTCACTGGCTATAGAGTCTGCAATCAATTTTAGATTGGAATTTCCATGGAATTATGGAGAATATTAAAGAGTTTTTGAAGAGAATTTGGTATGTTGGAGAAGAACAATGCGGTTGACTTGGTATATTGCTTTCAGGGTATAGCAACTAATGACACTTGAACCACCGTACATATTTGCACTAGTGCAACACATAAGGAACTGGGCCAATGTGCCCCAATGCCTTTGCGGATATAGACTTCCACAATTCTTGGAATTCTGTAAATGTCTATTCCTAGTATCCGATTGCAAATATGCAGCTGGCAGACAAATAATATGATACAAAAATTGAAAAGCCTCTCATATGTAGCAATATAAAAAACAAAAAGAATTTCGCAATTTCCCTCAAATTGATTACAACTCAGATAAATTATTCTATTAAAGTCCCCGCGATGTCGTAGTGATTAAATTGCGTTAATTATAAATCCACTATCTATCCTCACCCAGATATTTTCCAACTTGAGGGGAATATCGGGATGACAATATCGCCCATGGCTTTTCCCCATTTTTTCGTGTTTTTTTTTCGGTTGAGATTTATAGGTGATTATTTTTATCCCGACGTGTTATTGTCGTTCGGCAGTGGCAACTGCTAGGGATGCTGGGGGGTATGAGGAGTGTTAGCTGATGTAATTGGCACAAGCTGAAACGGGAGAAGCCAATCCGACTGGGGCTTCGATCCCCAGTCGCATTAGACAAGGAATCGAGATCCTAATGAGATGTCCAGAAGTAACAAATATTGCAATAAAAATAATGACGTCTCGACCTCTATCAAAAGTTTTTTTACCCCGATGAATTCATGCGTAAATTCATAAATATCGATTGGATCTCTCAAACGAACGGGAAATGGCGAGTACCAAGTGGCTCGCGCAAAAGGCTGCTGAAATATTATAATATGATTATGGAATTATTATGGAATAGTTTTGAGAGACTGAGGAAATGACAAATCATTTATCTCCATCGTCAGTAACTTCTAACAATGATATAATATATTTTTTAAACATATTGTCAATGAGGGGATAGACATTATAACAGATAAACTATATTTCGAAATATAAGAGCGTGCGAATAATTTTTTCAACTTCACAAGCATATATTGGAGCCTCGGGCAGTTACTAGATTCATCATCTCCTATCTGCAATTATTTATTCTTGTGTTCTCTCGAATGTGACACTGCTGGTGCTTTTGCAAAGAAATGGCAGAAGCTTTCGATGCACTTGTTCTGCTAATTGCTGTCTCTCCCGGTGTTATCAAATTTCTAATGATAACTCCCACACGAGTTCATCTCAGGCGATAATAATTATTTACAGCTTATTCCTAATCACTCAAAGGCGAATCAACACAAGTGATTAGCGATATCCAATTGTTCCACTGGAGCGTTTATGTATCTCAATAAACTCGTCTTGAACTTGTCTTGAACTTCGTTACTCAATAAATGTTATACGTTTCGCACTTATGGTCTAGGAGTCGTTGAAAAACGTGACATTAGATCTACAATTTATAAAAAAGTTTGTCATGATGGCTCTCGTAATTTATGGCGTGATACAACTCTTGGAATATGCGTGATGTTTATCGAATTTAATCCTCGAAAATATAATGAAATCAAAGACAATATCAATAATCAGGATTCATCCCTTGCCTGGATATGTACCTACTCCATTACATCAGCTTTAATCACACTTCAATATAATTGATTCTGGATACACAATAATTGAACTGTAGCCACTTATCCACGTCAATTTCCTCATCGCATATGCACTTCTCTTCTGCCTATTAACTACTTTATTTATAATCTATACAATGTTAATTGTGCAGTCCTTGGTTAAGCCACTCGAGTCCAATCGCAGAATAAGTATTTGTAGTTCTGGGATGAGCTCGAAAGGCTCGAATGTTTTTTCTAAATATCGTAGCATTCGTTTTATACTCAAGCATACATTCATTTTCACTTGCATAATTCATATTCATATATATATTTAACACAACTTTGTTTATGAGTAAATGATCCAAAGGGCCGTTGGACGATTGAGTTTATTTTAATCGTTTCATGTGGGATCATTGAGGATATTCAGACATTTTCGGGATAATGATTGTTCTAGATTGAGATAAACTTTAGCTTCTCTGGGAAATGGCAACATCCTGGAATGTCACATTTAAGCTAAAGCCCTCTCACGATTTAACTTGACCCGAAAGCATTTTTTTTTATCGACATATTATTAAAATTTCACATCAATCAATAATTATATTCAATAATGAGAGACAACTCTCCAACTATAAAACGAAAATGTAGAAAATTAAAGTTCAGCACCGTTATTTTTCTCATTACAATTTGTTCGTTATCAATTTGGCAAAAAGCCTTGAAACGATTCATCCATCATCTTTGATATCCCAGTGAGTATTTGAAGGGCTAATCCATCTGGAAACTCTCACCAACAATCTATATCATAGGCACTTTCTACAAGTAATCGGAGAATTTCTCGACTGTGGTCGAATACTTCATCTTTGCTTCGATCAAAGGCCGCGAGATTGGGGGATGTCTTCACTAATCTGATGATTTTTATTGGAATGAGCATTAGGAAATTAAAATTGACTCGATTGAAACTAATTAGTTGAAGATATTTCCTTACTAGAAATTCGATAATGAAATGAGGAGTCGCCGAATGACATTTCTCTCCGTATCAGCCAATTAATATTCCAATTAATGCATGAATTCATGAATTCATGAAAGAGGGGATGAAGTACGAGTGATGAAAATGTATTTAGTACCCTCGATAACCCGAAGACTTTCAACAAACATTCAGAACGACTTTGAAATAGGTCATCATGGTCTCCCTGGAAAGGTATTTACAATTACCAATATCGTTGATTCATTATTTTCATAAAATGATGTAATATTACATGAAACATTAATACTGCCCTTCGCCTAACATGCGTGAAAAAATTAATAGAAAACTCTCCGGTGCTATCTCTAAAAAAAAACTCGATAAAATTTCTTCTCATCCCCACAGCTTTTTTTTTTCTTATTTCACATCGAATATTTTTTTCCCTCTTTCATAATAAAAACTAAAATAAAAAATTGAAACGATCATGCTGAATAATTTAACAGAAAAAATTCCAATAGAATAAGTTTTAAATAAAAAAAATCATTATCAAAAATTCAACTAGAATTGTGATAGAATTGTCATGGGGTTTCAACAGAAATTCCACCAGAATTTTTTTAGAAAAAGGGTGAGGTTTTCCTATTAAATTTTGTTATAGGCGAATTTGCTTGAATCAGAGGTTCTGGTTAGAGAGCATGTGTCTAGACTTTGAACCCTTCTCATTTTTTCCACACTTTTCTAAAGTAGTTTTCATTCTTCCACACTGCGCAAGAAGTTTCCGGTGAGGCACTAGAAATTGCTTAGCAACCCTCGGCCCCACGTCGTTCACGCTTTTCAAGGCATTGAATACCAACGTCCTATAATTTTTTTGTATATAAAAAAGTAAATAGTAAAAGCTTCAACATTCGGGAATTGAACGAGTAGGCAACAGGATGAATTGCAGTGACTTGAAATGCATGAACATTTGAGCGCAGATTAACAATCAGTCACTTTTTATCGCTTAATTTAATACAACCATGTCATTAATCGCCTTTGAATTGTGTTTTTTTTTGGGTGAGTGACTAGTACTTGATCATATATGCACCAAAAGAGTACGTTTAGGAGAATTGGACAGAGAGGACTCTTTTAAAATGGTTTTTCAGCACCCAATGACTTGGAATAATCAGCAATTTATTCCACAACTTAATTGTCAGGTGAAAAGGCCAGGAAACTTACTCTCAATTTCGCATTTCAGGTCGCCTGCGTCCAATTCTCGTCTATTTTTTAGTGTAAATAACGAATTGTTCATTGAATGTTCTTATGGAGTGGTTGACGTCAAGAATGTTGGATCGACCGCGGCGACTTTGGCTGTGAGAAAAGCGTGCATACAGAACAGTAAATTCTGCAGTTGGGAGCATTCCAATTCCTGGAAGTAATAGAAAAAAAAAGAAAGGAAAGAATCGTTAATTCAATTTCAAGAGACACTTTGGCAGGGGGCAACGAGGGGGATAAATAATCTCAATGAGGAGTGAAGTACGTACCTTCGTCTCTATAGCTATACTATCCAACTCTTGGAAGTGCAGTTTTAACCTACTCTTTCCATCATCACTTGATCCACGCAACTGTGAAAATTTGTATCTCCAGGCCACTTCCCCGAGGCCCTCGTAGGATAACGTAAATCCTTGGGTCCATTCAAGTGTCAGCCCCGCGGTCCTTCCGTTGAAAGTTACTGGGAAAGTTTTGCTCTGCAGGCAATCCGAAACAAAATAGTTAGTACGATATTAAGAGTAAAAAAATACCAACTTGTGAATGTTGGAGATGAGAATCTTGATAGCGAAGTTGGGAAGGATCATAATTCTATCCAGAACAAAAAATTACTTTCCATAGAGAAATATAAATATAAAGAAAAATATCATTTCATAATCCCCAGGTCCGTAAAATTACTCATTAAAAATATTCCGTAATTTTCTCCTTTCTCATAATATTTCCATTTAATATGTCGATATAAACAACAGTTGTTTCACGTATTTTTTTTCTCTTGAAAAACAGTCCTTTTCTCCAAGACTCGCTTAATTTTTTAATAACACATTAGTCCCCGAGCCGGAAAATGGCATCTTCAAGAGATTTTTCAGTTTCCACAACTTCTGTCCAACTTTTTTCCCATCGAAACTTTCGTCGCGACCTGTACCAAGACTCATGACAACTTATTGAAGCGGAAAATGACTCCTGCTGTGAATTACCCTATTTCTGCGTCAAAAAAAGTGGTTCGTTAATGTTCCACCCAGTAAAAACGTCGTAAAAGAGCTAACATCAAAGCAAATATCTCGCCCAATTAATTAATGAACAGAGAACGTTATTCAACGAGGAGAAGCTCAAAAAGTACATCTCTGATATTTTCATTCAATTGAATGTAATAACTTTGTACCTTCAAATGAGTAACAGCAGAACAAACAGCGGTGTGCCATGCAGCCTCGACTCTCAACAGCTCCTGCCTCGTTTCCACACTCAAGTAACGAGGTGGTTTACCCGGGCTCTGGGCTAAAAAGCAATGCTGTCTCTCATCGACATTCTCTGACTCCCTCATCACTCGAAACATCGTCTGGTAAACTTTGAACGTAAGAGCACAGCGAGACCAATCCCCAATATTGCACTGGAAATAGAGTTTCACATTCAACGTCGGTCATAATTAATGCTATTAATTATTCATAGTTAGATAATTGATTACAGACTCACAGGTGGGGTTTCGAAGAGGAGAAGATCGGGGCCCTTGAGGGCTAGGAATCTCGGTCTGTAACTCTGCCACGGCTGATTACTGTTGCTAACTGCCTCGTTTACCCAACCCATGTACTCTATACGTTCACCGACCCCAAAATTACGATTGTAGAGTTTCATCTGTAATTAAACGAGTCATGAGTTTCTGTAGACAGAAAATAATCAATTTAATCGGGGCATTCCCGCCAAGTCATATTATTTTTTCAGTCCTACCGAAATAATAGCAATTTTCTTTGTAATTTCCAATAGCCGTATTTAACAAGATTCACAAAATTATTCAAACATATATTTCACGATATCGTACTGAATTTATCTGGAATGTTTGGACGGAAGCTGACTATCGCGGAGACTAATGACGAATTATTTATCATCCCAGTCTCTGTATTCGTACATACCACTGTGAGAATTGGATTTGTATTAAATTTGGTCACAACTTGTTGGAAAAAAAATAAAAAATGATTTTCACACAAACGAGGAACATCTGCATCTCTACATTCTCCGAGGATTATTCCAGCAAACTCCCAGTCGATTGACATAAGATTAACAAATCCTCGAGAAGGAAACTTCAAAGCACCGTCGACTACTCGAATCTCGCCGGCCCATTAAATCCCTCAGTAACATCCTCAATTCTCTCCTAAACCATCCAATTAACTTTCCCCTAATGAGCAATTACTCATTACCTGTAGATGCGTGAGTCCTGTGATGTTATCAGTGATGTACTTGAGCCATTGACTGAGTATAGCACTATCATCGCAGTGTATGACTCCAGTTCTCGCCCCATTGAGTCCCCTCACTTCGAAAGCATTTCTTCTCAGTTTGTCAGTCCCAAATATGTATCTTGTGACATAAGCCATCATTAAAGGTACTGAAAGAGATTTTGTGTGGAGAAAAATCATTAATCAGTGGAGTCTTTTCATGTGACAGCCTGTGAAATATTAAGGAAAAAATGGGGGTAGAGAAAAGAGAAGTTAAATCTCTCACCTGTGATGACGTCGACCCATTTCTTCAAGTGGGTCGACGATGAGGACGTGTTTGATCCGTGTCTACTATGTCCACTCTGAGGACTAACAGATCGTCTATTGGGTGATACCCATTCCTCCTCGTCATCTCCATTCGCTGCGTTATCCAGTTTCTCCTCTTTTCCTTTTACCACGGTGGAGATTAGTGATTGGAGAGTTATAAACAGAGTATTGATTCATTTTCAGGACTTACCATTCTTTTGGAGGAATGGCTTTGCGGCACGGTAGTGTTTTACTGTCAGCACTACGATGTCACCTGCGTTCCGAAGAATATTTACAGCGTCGTCATGATTACAGGCTGTTATGTATTCGCCATTCACTGGAATCAGGTGAAGGAGATCGAGTTAATATCGATCATGTAAGTTTTTCGGGGTCTGATTGATTGGGTAAGTTTCCTTAAGAGAGCAACCCTGGGGGAGACATTCCATTTGAAATTCCTACGAGGGAGACAGGTTCACACAAGTTTCTCGACTGAATCAGCTCGATTTCGTCTGTGGTCGATCGTCTGACCTCGTAATCCAACAAAAATAGCGGAATTTTTACCCCAGATTTTTTCGGCATTGCGTTGCTCTTTTTGGAGAAAATCTTTCCCGGTCAGATTTCCTTCATTATTCATATTATTTTGCCTGAGTATGAAAATCGATCAGTATTTAGTGGAAATCCATTAATTCCAGACACATTTCTTGTAATTTTTTAATGTTTTCCATTGTGCCAATTTCCTACGGACGTAGAATCAACTTTTCTACGACTTTCAACGAATTTTCTGGGATGGCTTTTAAGAAATTAGAGACATTGAATGTCTCGTAAGCCCTTCCGGGATACGACTCTCGAGAGAAGAGGAAGTAGAAAGAAAAATTCGAGTAATCCAATTATCGGGGGAAAATCTGAAGAGTGCTCAGGAAAAATTGGATATACCAATTAAACATTCTAATTTCGTAAATTTTGTTCAGTTAATCAAACTTTTATTAGGAAAGAATTGTTATTTCAGTAAAAATTCATCGCGTTTATTGTTCAATTTTCCCACACACACACCTACGCACTCCTAATCTATCCTGTGACTGTCATTCAAATGAATCAAATACATTCTTCCATTTTTGGGTACAGCAAATCCATTTAGCATTGCACTTTTGTACATCTCTAATTGAATAAAAGCAGTGAAGAACGTACAGAGAGTCGAGCACTTTAAATTCAGACTGTTATATTTCCCATGAAAATCAATAAGATAAAATTCCTCTAAAAATATTCAGCGTTATCAGCGTGATACATAAATTTAAGTTGGAGAAAAAATTCTGCGATGTCCATTGAATTAAAATAAAATTTTCAAATTCAATAATCCACAATTAAGGGTTTACTTCCATGAAATGTCCGATGGCTGTAGCAGATATCGAGCTGACGGTGAATCTGCAACACGTTTTGGATTCTTGATACGATGTGAAGCCCCGAATAAACGATTTATCATAAGAGATTGACAGTGACACAGCGACGATATTTTAATATTCCGAAGTGCCGGATAGACTCGACTATTTCGATCAATGAATTATTGAAAACTTTGAATGGACTGAAAATTTAATTCGCAGATGAGATGATTATATGAAACTTCAACGTTTTCCCCTGTTTTTCAATATGCAATAATATACATTTCAAATCATGGGATAAAATTCTCTGACGATTCCAACTTCATTAGTATGATACACTCTACCCTCTTCACAGTTAATCAGTCATTTCAACGGGTAATTTTAATGGCCTCACATTAATTCGAGAGTGGAGAGAAATAATTTCAATATTTTCATCCCGGCATTAGTTTATCGAAAATGTTGATAGTGAATATTCGAAAAGATTTGGGTGTTAATGAATTGATTTAAAATACAATAGAATAACGAATTGTGATTGGTAATTCGAAGGACTTAACTGAGAAATGAGACATGATCGTTTAATAAATAGACAAGCTTCAGTATAAGGGATTCATTGTGACAAACGGCGATATATGAATACTTTCAACTATCGGAGAAGCTGTCCAAGTCGATTGTACACCGAGAGGGGAAGCCAGATCGGTGAATATCAGTAGGGCTGGGGGGTATGAAATATTCATGACCGTCCTGGCCTATTTGAAAGTACAAAAAGTGCTGGGGATTGTTGAGTGGCTGAGAAATAAGGACATGTTTCATTCACCTTTGATAATTGCATCTCCAACAAACAATTGACCGCACTGGTCTGCCGCTTGACTCTTGTATATTCGTGATATGAGCACTGGAAGCTTGTGCTCAGCACCACCCTTGATACTCAGACCAAGTCCACCAACTTTTTGACGTGTTATCTGAACCATTCGCTCTTTAGCATCCAACGGGGGCTTGTTGTGATTCGCTGCCTGCTAATGGAGAGTACACATTGTAAATATTTTATGTTCAGGGTTTATTTTTGCTTAACTGGGAAAATGAAAATAATGGAATAAAGGAAATCTGATGAGTCAAACTTTATCGTGAATAGGAAATTAGAGACGTTTTTAATAGGAAGAAAAATTATATCTAGGTTTTAGTTGAATTGCATTGCTATTGAAGAACAGGTTTTGAACGGAAATTGAAGAAAGTAATTGTACCTCTAAATCCTCTCGTTGCAACTTGAGCACTTCCATCGACAAATGCAATCGCATGGGTACCGGTTTGCTCTTTCCATCGCTGACAGTAACCATGCCCGTCCGGACCTGAAAAATCATCCTCATGTTACATATTCAACCTTCACATTCGACCACAAACATTGAGCACCGAGGCAAGATAAAGACCATTATAGAATCGCTGAAACCTCAGCAGGAGGCATTAAACCTGCAGGAGCAAATGAACTATTCAAATACGAAGAAACACGGAGAAAAATCGGAGAAAAATTTTCAAGAAATCCCAATAAGTGAATTCCCTCGAAAAAAAATTGGCAAACAAAAATGAGGTGTTATGGAATACCAATTGGAAATTATTATGGAATAACGGAAAGGAGTAATTTGAATTGTCATTAGATCGCAACCGCGTTCCCCCTTCAAAGATCAATCAAGACATGAAATATAGACACGAGAGCGTTTAAATCGCGGTCGTAGAAACGATAAACCGCTCCAAGGGTATACTCGACTTATTGATTTCGATAATAGCGAAATAAAAAGTGGGTAAGAGGGGCCCGAGTGATCGACCGGCAGTGAAATTCACCCAGAGAATTTCTAAATATATTGCGAAAAAAATGAAAAAACCCCATGATTGTAATTGGTTAATCAATACCTTCAGCTTCTGATCAATCTTCTCCTCGATCGGAGTACTCATCTTCGTCGCGTTGATTCTCATTATTTTTTTTTATACAAAATAGCGACCTGATGCACCCATCGTAATCCAGAAATAGCCGAGAGTTTGGAGAAGGGACTCGAGTGACTTCTCAACACAACTGCACCTCGTAACCAACATTTTCCCTCCCTTCTGTTTATTTCAACTTTTAACTCATCGCTCGTGATTATTTTATTTTTGAAAACCTCAGACCCGCCTATCGATTCTCGGGTTGGCGGCTGTTTGATAAGTGTAGCACGTAATTCTGGAGCACCTCATCCGGTGTCACTGGAAATTCTACAACCCGTGAACTGTCAAAGCGACATTTGGAGCAGCGAGAACGATCTATTCATCGTGACGTTCCTCTCGCCCTGCGTTTGCCCCATCCACTGGCTTGAGCCTTCAACTGCTTCTGTGCACCCAAATTCTTCCCTTTTTTTCTCCACTTTTTTTTTCGTGGGAGGATAGGGGGAGGGATTTATCGCGCATTGAGTACCGCGCAACGTGCGCCCGATTAAGTGCGCGGGAGGACGTGAGAGATATTCGAATTTGAGAATGAATTTTTTGCGTCAAATTATTCGGATAAAAGAATAAATATTTCGAAAATCAGAATTCACGGCAGCACAAGGCAAGATTAAAAAAAAAAATTCCAAAACCCAGCAGTTGCTGATTATTCCTCATTAATTTCTCATCTCTCTACTCTTAAATTAAATAGAACTTGCAGTAATAATGGGAGATTGGCATCTTATAAGGTGAAATACCCCATGTCCATGGGGTTGGTGACCCCGTCGACGCTTCGCGTGACACTGAGCTCACGAAGGGGACGTAGCTATCAAGTTTCCCAAGATAACCCACAATCGGGGTTCATACCCAATCGTCTTGTGTGGAATAAATTCACTTGTGTTTATTATCTAATTCATATATTTCTGTACAACACAACTCAATTGGTTATCCTAAACCATCATACAATAAAAATTCGTTGATCCTAAAGTCCATTCTCCCGGGAGAATAAATAAAAAGAGACAAAGGGGAATCAAGAGCAAAGGATAAATTAATTTGCACTTTTCAATTTGCTATGTCTGTACAAAAAATAATTCCCCTCTCTCATATTCTGATGTGAAACTGAGCATTTGATTTTATAAATCGAAATAATGCTGGGGAAAAAAATAATTCTCCAAATTACTTTTTTCAAGCATTATGTTGCTTCTCAATGTTAATAACGAAGATTATATCTTCATAACACTCTCCAGAGTGATTTTTCTGTCACGATTGGAACGTGAAGAAAATGGTTGTCTAATTCTTGGCACCACTTGGTACCCCGTTATAAAAAAACAATGCCTTTCAAGAAGTCATAAGCGGCGTTGATGACACCCCAACTGATGAAAGACCTCATGTAATTCAAATGCACTCCTTGATAAAAACTTCTAATGCTCCTGTTCCTGCTGATCCACACGTCCCTCAACGCAACCGAGAATTTTTCAAAGTCTCCTCCAATTTTCGACTGCATATGAATTTTTATAACGTTCATAGGGTAAAATATTGTGCTGGTGAATCCTCCAATCAACGCTCCACTCACAAAATTTGAAAATAACGTTCGTTCATCACCGATTATCTCTTTGGATTGATCTCTCAACGTGAAAAATGTGAGATTTGATAAACCATTTCTGAATATAATTGGAACGAGTCCCCTGTAGCACTCGGTGACTCCGTGATGACTGAGTAAGTACTTGAAGGCATCAGGAGTGTTCCTGAATTTATTGTGATATCTCCAATCTTGGAGAAGCGTCTGAACTCTCTCGAGGGGCATGAGGATGGCCTCGACACCTCCGGCGAAATTAGCAGCTACGATTTTTGAAAAAACTGGATGATGTGTGAGCGCTGTCAGTCTAGTTCTACTTCCTTCGTAAACCGAGAACATTATGGACAGGGAAAGGGTTTTTTGGCATAATGGAGGGAGAATTCCTCGGTACAACAGCCCCAATCCTTCACGGGACAATTGTTTGACAGCTGTTGTGGCCGGGACTGCCTCGAGGATCTGGCGGAATATTATCTTGTTTATTGGGTACGTCACGGTGACGTTTATCACAGCTGCGCCCCAACCGCAGATGAATTCACGGGTATCGTTTGATGTTAATTTCAAGAGGGTGTCTATTGTTACTTCTTGGCTTGATGCATTCATGTGCTCCACTTCTACCTCCGAAGCGGAAACTGCTGGGAGTGGAGAATATTCAGTTCTATTCCACATTGGCCTCTTGCACATTTTTCCCGATGTAATTCGCCTTCTTCTGGAATTATAATTTTTGGAGAAATTTTTCATCACAATAAAAATTGTCTCTCTTCTCACGATTTCTCTGGATTTTAGTCCCCCATTAATTCATCTCAGTTTTTCTATTCTTCTTGGTATTATCATTATTTAAAGAGGTTTTTCATAACTTTTTGGAAAATTTGAAAATAGAAAACGTAAAAAAAAATTAAAAAATGGTTGTATTACCATGGAAATTGGGGATATTTTGAGAAAATAAATTTGAATTGGAAAAAAATCCACATGTCATAATAATCAACACTCGTATGCTTCTGAAGCAATAGTTTATCTCCCCATGCTCAAGCAATAATCATTGGACAGTGTCAATTACTAACGTGTTTTGAAAATCAAATAAGTGTCATCGGTGTCCCACATGCTCATCTCAGGCTGGAAGAAAAAGAGTCCAAAAATCGTAGTGACATTTTAACTCCTCTCTTCTTTTTTAATTATTCTGGCACAATGAACTTGTTATGGAGTTACATAACCAAAATTGGAGCAACAATTCGGAGCAGAATTCAAAGTCCAGAAAGCCCAGTGTCCTTCGACAGCTAAACCCGACACTTTCGTGATAAGACAATTCAGCTGATCATAATACTCCAAAAAAAATCTTTGAATCGAGACTTATCGAACCCCTGAGTGTGACAATAAGTCCATGGCTCTTCCCAGAGAGGATTGACTAAAGTAGAGGGTCAGTTCTGGGGTTTTGAGTGACCCCAGCGGCATCGTAGTACTGCACCCCAAAAGAGGGAGGGCGCAACACGCAATGCTGGGGTGTCCATCAAGTTGACGGGGTGAATTTTATTTTCTGCGGCATGAATGCTTTTTGTTTTTTGTTTGTTTAACTGGAATTTAGCCGCCTGTAGAACGAGTGGAAGGGGGAAGCC